CTGATTGAGCTGGAATCCAATTAGGTGATCTATCCACAAATTGTTTCCGATTCAATCTTCGGGCTTTAAGAATTTCACCACAACCACTAGCAAGCTCCAGGGTCCTAGATAATTCATCCATAGACCAGTCTATTGGAATTCCTCGGACTAGGTCCATGCGAAAGATGTTAAAAGTAGGTATAAAAGCTTTTTATTTAGGTAACGAAAGTAACGGATTATGAATAAACTTGTTAGCAGATGTGGCGGAGAGAATTCGACGCAAATTTTATTACGGCTAATTCTTTTGACTCCATCTTTGACTATATCTGCAAATTTATTTTTAAAAAGAAATTCACCAAATTTGATTGCGCGAATATTTAGTCCTGCAGACGGGTCTGGCTCTTATCTTTCAACATGGATAATGAAAGGTCCGATGTCAGAGTCCGAATAAGAATTAATTAATTCGTTGTAAGCGGGGTTCAGATAAACTGTTTGATAGGGGTTAGCTGTCGAAGGATCAATGATCGTTTTTTTGTTTAAGCCGATATTTTGTTTTATTCCTCCAGAGCGTTTCCTAGAGAAGGAACTGAATAGGAGTAATTCTGTCTCCGGCATATTCGCCTGGATCCGGAGGCTCCGATTGTGTTTTTTTTTCTATTCGGCTTGTCACATAGAAGGAAATTTTGATAATACAAATCTAAAACTAGAACCTTACCACAATATCTTATATACACTTAAAATATTTACCTATATTAACTAATATATTATACAATTAAGTAATTATTACTACTATTTCCACAATGATGAAATAATTTAAATCCGAGAGGCACAAAAATTGTGTGTTGATCACATCAAACGAGAAGACAGAATCCTCGGAAATAAGTAAGGGGTGTACAGGAAATCCAAATCTGACGTTTTCTTTATTTTTTTCAAAATAGTTAACTTATTATCTATTTAAACTTCTTTTTAAAACCTGCCAGTTTGTATTTCCCTGTAAAAAGGTTACATACTATGATACCATCGCTCCGACACACTATGGGTAAATTATGGCAAAAAGTCGGTCAAAACTATATTCAGGCTTTTTAAAATAAAAATACCTTTAAATGATTAAAAATACGGTTATAACATTTGAATAACAAAAATAGGTATTATATTAAATATAAAAGGTTTTTTAGTCTGATACACATTCACTAGTATATTTCGTTTGAACTTTGAGGTTCTACCACCAAAAGATAGTGTTTCCTTTGAAAATGGTTTACTTCTCTTTTGTGGTAGTCTTCTGCAGCTGCTGAGAAGTGGATCGGAGGTCAGTAATAACTTGTACAATACGTCCTTGTTGCACAGCTATCTGGTGGAACATTTCCGTGTATAATTAATACAATATTGCCTGAAATTTTTGTTCCTGGCTTCTGCGGCTTCTTCAGAAAGCTGACCTATAGTTACTATTGCATGAGATATGACAACGTGTATGAGTATTTTGTGGATGGTAGGAGACATAGGATGCCAACATCAAACTTTTCCGAATCAATTTCAAACCCACTAGATAATGTGTCAAGAATTATTTTGAATTTAACTATTAATTCTTTATTTATTCCAGTTAACTCTGAAGCAATCTCAGGTGTTACTGAACCCAGCTTTAGGAATATCGACTAGAAGGCACAATCGCTCCTTGAAATCATTTTGTATTTTTTCTTTTCTTTCTTTAACAACCTTTTTATCTTCTGCACTTCTTGCTTGCAATTTTTTAAGAGTAATTTATATGATAAATGCAAAAGACCCTCAAAAAACATATCCTGGCATGAAGAATAGACAAACCAAACTTTAACTAATCAATGTTTATTTGTGCGGAATCTTGCAGCTTATTGAAATTTTTGGACATAATCCACATATATAACAATGCACGGTGGAAGCTGTATTTGTAGCAGCATTGCATATTTTACCATCTACCATTGTAGGCAACAAGGTATAATTTACTTAAAATATTTGAAGATCCAAGTATTATAGATTTTCCTTCTTCCGGGCATTTTATAGATTCTATTAAATACTGCTGTTGAAATTTCAATTTGTTATTGCAATTAGTGCCAATAAACGATTGCATTATATCATACAAAGCTCCTTTGGTGAATTCAATAACTTTACCTGTAACAAAAAAAAAGTTACATTCATCCTAAAATAAGTTCATTGCTAAATAGTTTTAGTACTACCTGAACTAAAATATCATTAAAAAAAGATGGTGGAAAAAAGTGGAGATATTTTAATCAGTATGTAATAAAAAACTTTGCCTGACCAAATGTGACATATATACTTTCAGAACTTTTATTATTAATAAATTACAAAATATTTTTCTATTAAATTCTAGACAACTAAAGAAACTGGTTAACTAAAGAAATTGTTAGATATTACTGCTTCAAAATAGCAACAACATTCAACATACCTTCTTTTTCCATAATGCAAGGCAATTTTACAACAGGCTGACTACCACTCACTTCAAAACCAACACGAAATATCTGTATAGTCTAAAATAGTGACATGCTATTTACACAATGACAGTACTGCAACTGATTGTATGCAAAATAATGGTCATATAGGGTAGACATATGAGTCGGGTCTGTTGGATCGGTTATTCACGTACAAAAAGAAACTAGTTTGGGAACTGTAATGCCGATTTTGGTAAATCCACTTTTAACCGATTTTTGCTTTAAATTTACCCATAGTGCGACGCTTTACTAGGGCTCGCTTAGCATTTCACCGTTGGCTCATCAAACCTGGCCCACCAGAATAAATTTTTTTCTAATTTATGATATTTTATTTTCACAAACCGTTTGTTCTAGATTATTCGCCATAAATAATTTAACAAGAACGTTTTCTTAAAGTATTAAATAATCTATTATAAATGTTAATCCCAACTTTAGTAAGACCAAACATATTCTCTTTTAAAAATTAGTAACTAGAATTAGTATGATCTTTTTTAATTAGTAACAAAATAAATAGTATGAATCAACCACATCTATAAACTATCTCAATGCATATAATTACAATCCTATGGATAAAGTATTGGAACAATAACTTTATTACATTTATATATATTTTCTAATTCGATACAAATAATATGATTTTATATAAAAACACTTCAAACCTTACCTTACCACTACAATTTACTATTTAGTGTCCTCACTGGTCCAACAAATATTTCTGATTGCAAAATACAAAGTAAAATATATTTTTCGTGCTGAAGCCTGAAGAAAATAGATATTAGAAATGTCAAGAAATACTGTATGTGTCACAGATTAAGTATTAGTTACTACGTAAGTATGTGTATGGTTTACCGCCGCCCGCCAGGCGCCTCACATTAGAGTTACCACATGGAAAAACATCATGGCGACAACAAATTATTGTTCGTTCATATAATATTTATTTAAAATAATGAAACAATTAAAAAAAACTACTTCAAAAAAATAAAAAGTATAAAATAACCTAATAAAGATTTCATTTAATACACCTCCTAAGCAAACGTAACACTTTTAATATTAATAATAAATTTTACAATAAAAACACTGTTTAGTTTTTAAAATATTTATTTTTATTATAATATCAAGTTAAATACTTAAAATTATTACCGGAATGGCCGGAATGAAAACTGAAACGTTATAATTGAGTCAGAACATATGTATTAATATATTTATTAAACCTAAGGTAACTACAAATAAAATGTATTAATACTTTTGAATAAATTAAATAAATACTATTATCTACATCCGAGCACAATTTTAACGTCAATAATTTAAAAAGTAAGTTATCTTGAAACTAAAGCGGGAGTTTCCAACTTTCTGCTCTTAGTGGGGTGCGACCCTCCAGTACATAGAGAGAGTTTATTTTGCATAACTTAGATTTAAAATAAATAAAAATCGTTAAAATAAAGTTTTTAGTAGGTACACACAGTCTATTAAAATATATTTATTTTAACTTTAGCTTTACACAAGAAAACTTATTGTTATGGAACAGTTACACAAAAGATACATAATATTTTAAAGTACGCGAATGAGAGTCGTGGAGGATCGTTATTATTATTATAATTAAAAAAAATAAAGGATTTTTTTTTGTTATCCTTTGAAAGTATTTTTTATAATCCGGGGAGGATCAACAGAAAAGTTGGGAAACCCTGTTATAGAGCATTTCTCAAGTTAGCTTTTCAGTTCTGCGTTATATTATATTTTAAACAGAATTCGAATTTACGACCTGGTTGAGGCACGCTCTACAAATTAGCAAACAAAATAAAAATATGAAAAATCAAATAAAAAAATCTATTTAAAATATAAAGTTTAGTTCACTTTTATATTACAATTTAGAAAGAGATGGTATAATTAGCATCATTTAAAATATTAATAATGTAAAAAAAAATAAAAAGAAAAAAATAACAAAATATATGTAAATAATACCTTTACTCAATGGCTTTTTTAAGTAAAAAAAATAAATAATTTCAAATTAAAATCATATTTAACTATATTCTAAGCTTTTTAAATTAAAATCTTTAGTTTGAGTCAACTAATTGTAAAATCTAGATTTTTAAATTGGCATTTAATGGTCATAGCAGAGTAAAAATGTAATTAAAATTGAACATATGAGTATTTGATTATAACTTTTAAAATTTTAGTGTATAAATGGAAGGAATAGATTTCAAATAAAACTATCTTTTCGGATTTTTTTCGGATTTATTTTGATTTTTGGTTCCCGACGTTTCGAATGCTTTACAGCAATCTTGGTCACGGGAGAGACTAAGTTTTTAGACGTCTCAAAGGTATTGTATAGTTGTTAAAGACAACCGTGACCACGATTGCTGTAAAGCATTCGAAACGTAGGAAACCAAAAATCATAATAAATGCGCGAAAAAAGCCGAAAATATTGTTTTATTTAAATTCGCGTAAATCTAAAAAAGTATTAATTGAATGATTAGATGTTTTATAAAACTATTTTCTTCTTCATATAGGAACAGTCTTCCAATAAAATGTAGTAATACTGTTTTATTGAGTCACAGGATGTGGGGGTTTGATTCTCATGTAATGTCCGTATGGAGTGCTGATAGTTTGGGGGCCGGCTGCGTATGGGTCCAGAACTACGTTAACCAGCTTTGATTCCGATGGGTTTTGTACTTCTTCCCTACCCCATGAAGCTGAAAATATAAAAAAAAATTATATATAGAGTACCATCTATCGGTTAGTGGTGATACTTAATTCAATATTAAATTATAATATCTATACTAATATTATAAAGAGGCAGGATTTGTTCATTTGTTTGAACGCGCTAATATCAGGAACAACTCATCCGATTCGAAAAATTCTTTTTGCATTAGATAGCCCATTTGTTGAGGAAGGCTATAGGTTATATATCATCATACTACTACCCAAGGGAGCGGAGCAGTAATCATAAATGTCAACAAATCGGGCAACCTTCCATACATTATTGCTATACTATCTTTATATATATAATTCTTCTGTGAGTGTGTATGTCACTGAACTTCTCTCAAACGACTGGACCGATTTTGAAGAAATTTTTTGTGTGTGTTCAAGGGGATCTGGTAATGGTTTAGATTCACAATTTGAATAATAATTTTCATCGAAAAAATTATTAAAAAAAGTTTGAAATTTTCAAATTAAAGACGTGTAGACAGGACAACGTCTGTCGGGTCCGCTAGTATTATATATATTGAGGATGGGTCGGATGTATCGATGTGAGTCGCTGTATAACATAAAGCTACGTCATTTTTTTTTGTAATTTTAACGCGAGTGAAGCATCGTGGTCTATTAGTAATATCATAAGCAAATAGTTTTTGTAATTTAACTTAAAACAATAAACATTGTAATATAAACAATACTAACTAGTGCTATTTGTTACTAATACGTTACAGCAAATACTTTTGCTACTCAACAGTAGATGGCGTAGTATTTAATCTTATTTAAGACATTAAAAAACTCAACAGGATGTTAAATAAAATTTAGAAATCATCTTAAAAGAAAAGATAATTTTTCAAGAACTAACTATAATTTGTTATATTTAGTTTATTGTATTGTATTGTATTGTATATTGGACTCGTTTTCCGCACTTAGACTCGCATTTGGTCCGTTGTACGTTGCGAATCCTGGCTAGTTCAGCCAGCCTAACTCCGTCCAAAAGCGCAAAAGCTTCCTGGGAGCTTCACAGGCTTCGCGGAGCGACCTCACCGGTTCGAGGATTTCATTTCGTTGGGAAGTTACCGCTACGCATTCCAGGACTACGTGAGCGACTGATTCTACAGCGCTAAAACACCCTCTGCAGAGAGGGCTGTCCGTTGCGCCAATGTTAAATAAGTGTTTGTTTAAGGGACAGTGGCCCGTTATTGTCCCTATCATTATTTTGAGATTGGTTCTATTTAAGTTTAGTAGGCGTTTAGTGAGACGTGGGTTGACTGCGGGCAATGCTGATCTAGCTTGCCTGCAGTCTGTCGTTAGCGACCATCTCTTATTTTGAAGCGTCAGCGTTCTTTGGCGGATCCAGGTGCGAACCTGTGAAAAAGGTAGAGGAAGAAGTGGGTATGGGCCAGTTACTTCTAACCTCGATCCTTTCTTTGCAAGTTCGTCAGCTGCATCGTTGCCTAGTGAGCCGCTGTGGCCCTTGATCCATTGAACAGTGACTTGATTGGTCAGTGCTATTGTATCGAGGGCATGGTGACACTCAATTATTAATTTATTGTTTGTTTGTTTGTTTGTTAACGCCTGCAGAACGGCCGCGCTATCGGAGAGGATTTTTATGGTATAATTATTTACCTCCCGTCTTTGCACTGCCCTTGCGGCTTCCGTTATGGCTACACATTCGCATTGGAAGATCGAACTGTGTATGCCTAATGGTATGTGTAAATATATTTATATATATTTATATTTAGTTTAATTATTGTCTCACTTTTTCAAGATCATATTGAATTGCTAAAAAATTCAAATCGCACCTCACCAATGGCTGTAAGATATTGATACCAAACATAGATACTAGATGGCGCTATTAACTATAATGAAATGTGTGATACCAGTGACATTATTTCTATATATATATATATATATATATATATATATATATATATATATATATATATATATATATATATATATATATATATAAATGAATAGCCAAATGTGTTGCTAAGCGCAAAACTCAGCAACAACTGGACTAATTCGGATATTTTTATATTCAAATATTCTCTAAAATCTGAGGAAGGAAAATCTTTATTATAAGAGAAAAATTGGAAAAATTGCCCGGAAAAACGTAAAAATTCCATTTTTCTAATTGGTCTGCTGGCTGCTACACACTGAATTTGATAGAACGAAGTCTGTCGGATAGTTTTAAAAAATAAATCTATAGATTGCACTTGGCGATAATTTCACTAAACTAGATAAAGATAGTAAGTGCCTTTTAAAATAAAGTAGATTTTTTTGAAATTTTTTTTTGGAATCTTTTTTATTCTAGCCAATTCCAATAGAAATCCGGTCTTCTTACTATATTTTTTATGTATAAATAAGAAAAATAAAACCGCGGGAAGAAACCGCAAAAAAAAATTATTATTTTAAATATTCGCGTAAATCTAAGAATTTATTATAGAATTTCATACTTATTGGGACGCTGTGTTCCTCCGTGTGGTGGTCCTCATGGTGACCACCACCGTTGTGTATATGAAGATGAATCTCTTTCTGCTGAGGAGTCCAAGTTTGATGCTCGTGAGAGTGACCTTTAGATGCAAATAGGGCCCCAAACTAAAATAAAAAAATATATATTATATAAATATATTAGATATATCTAGAATTCTAATATTAATCAGTATCACCTTAGTTTCAGCATGGGGTCCTTTCAAGAATAAAGAACATTAGTTCGAATAATGTGTCAATAGATGGCATAACATGTGTCAATTATTATGTAAAACAAAAACAAATCTATCCCACGGGAACCGTACTATTTTCCGGGATTAAAAGTAGCCTATATGTTATTCCAGACTATAATCTATCCCTGTGCCAAATTTCATCTGGCGTGAAAGACTAACAAATTATCCATACATCAATATTTACAAACTTTCATATTTATAACATTAGTTACAAAAAGTTACAAAAAGTTTATTTACACTTTTATACACTTTTAATTATAATGTGTGATACTCGCGAAAACCACTGTACGGATTTTGATGAAATTTGGTATGATGATAGCTGGTTATCCGGGTCAATATATACTAATATAGGATACTTTTGACTGCGAGAAAATACTCATCTCTGAGAAATCTATACCAACTAAACGAAACGTTATAGTTGTAAAATAAATGTAGTTTTTTGTTTGTAATTATTTTTCTCATTGATTAAATTAATTTAATCAGTAAAAGAATATGAAAAAGCCGTTGAATATTTGTTTTAGTAGTTATTTGTTAAATGTAACATATTTTGTTTTGAATGTAGTTCAGTCAATTAAGCAAAAATAAGGGGTCAGCCTCAGAATAAGAGACACACTTTTTGGTGTTCTAACAGTTGTCTCAAGTCTCGTAAAGTTCCTTGTCTGCGCCGAAGTTATTCAAGGTCAATGGTCACAAAAATTAGTTTATCGCGATTATCTCGATTTCTATAGCTCCAATGATATTAACATTTATTATATCATTGGAGCTATATATATTTATATATATATATATATATATATATATATATATATATATATATATATATATATATATATCTATATATATAAATTGTAGAACATAAAACTTGCGATAGAATAAGTCAAAAATTTATTACCTAATTAAAATGTAACTGGGACTAATATTCTCGTTTTGAAGCGTGTCAAATACTCGACATTCAAACATTTTAAATAATTAAGCCTCTCCACTATCTCATGTGCGAATTACGATTATAATTAGATCCACAATTTTTTTTTTAATTTAAATAGTTTTTTTTTATATAACTAGCAACTTTCCTAAGGCGATTTGTTTTTTTTTTTCGATGTTGTATACAGACAGCGTCACCGTTTGGTAAATTATATATTAAAGACAGTGACCTATGTGTTACTCCAGCTCATAATCTATCTGTGTGCTAAATTCATCGAAATCCGTCCAGCCGTTTCTGTTTCAAGGATTAACAAACTGACACACATACAAACTTTCGCAGTTACATGTAATTAAAGTGTGATTATATGTATAAATTAGCATCCCTAAATTCGTTTACATTTTTTCGAGCGGAATACTAATTCTTTTTCTAAAATAAAAGTTACTCCATATAACATCAGCTATCTGCCAGTGAAAGTCCCGTCAAAATCGGTTCCGCCGATTCGGAGATAAGCCGGAACAAACCGACAGACAGACAAATTTAAAAAAAAAAATTTTTTCTTATAATTACCATATACAACACTTTCACATGTAAATACATGTGTAGTAAAAACCTTTTAATTAACATTACATACAAACACATCAATTTTATTTATCTGTATAGATGTTATAGGGAAATAACATATCAATGGATCAGTAGACCTTGACCCACAAAAAGCAAATTTCAAGATTCCACTAACTCCGTCTCTTTCTAAATCGCGGCGATTCGTCGTATTTTCTTTATCTTGCAAAAGAAAGTTTACTTTCACTATACGGACATAATGTGTATTATTTATGTATTCAAATCAATATTCGGTAAGAAAACCTAATTTAGTTACACGTGTGTTTTTAAATTAAAAACACCTAGAAATCGTTGTAATTTGTACATAATATTCTGTACATGTACAATCACATTATAAATGCGACTTTGTAACGATTTTTGTTACTTTTTCACTCAGAAAATATTTTATAGTAATATATTTAAACTAACATTGCCCGCGGCTCCGCCCGCGTTCAGATGACCAAAAATCAAATTCTTAGGTTTTACATATTATTATAGCCTTACATTGCATTTTTGTATTTTTCTCAGAAATGAGACGTTTTTCCGCGGTAAAAAGTATCCTATATGTTGACCCGGATAACCAGCTATCATCATATCAAATTTCATCAAAATCCATCCAGTGGGTTTTCAACAGACATACAGACAGACAAAAATTCTAAAAACTATATATTCCGCCTCTGTATCGATAATAATGTCGATTTCAATAAGATTTTCCAAAAAATATTGAATGTACAGATTCGGTTTACTTACAATTTTATTATATGTAGGTATAGATATAAATTATAAATATACTTGTCCTAACTGATTTATCAACGCAAAACCTAAACCACAGGGGTTAAAAACTGGAAATTTTGGCAGATTTTGATACATTTTATGATGTAAACATCCACTAAGGAAGAAGTTTTGGAAATTCCACCCCTAAAGGGGTAAAATAAGGGATAAAAGTTTGTAAAAAAGTCTGCCATTTTTAACGTGAAATGAACGAAAAAGTAATATTCAGCTTTAAAACAAAAAAAAAAGAGAATACGTATATTAAGTTTTTTTTTAAAATTCATCCCATAAAGGAGTATAAGGGGGTTTTTGTAGTTTGAACGCGGGCAAAGGTGCGGGTTCTGCTAGTGTTCATACATCAGAGTAATATATCACACAACAAGTAATTTTCCGATTACACTAAATTTACGAATTATTGAGATTCAATAAATTTGTATGGGATAGTCATACAGTATATCTACTACATAGAAGCACAGTGTAAAAATCCATACAGTTAAAAATATAGAGCCTTTGATTTTCAATTTTTCTTTTTTGCCTTTGAGTTGAATGATAAAGCTGGCAAATACGTTAAATATGTCCCTGTCAGCCCTATTCTAGCGTCTCATCGGAGTTTGAGAGTAAAATGTATAAATAATGCAGTATCGTCAGGTTTAGCTCAGTTTTTTATATTCAGGAAATCATCCCTTAAGAGGGTGAAAATGGGGATGAAAGTTTGTATGGGGAAGCTACCTATTGATATAGATATCATCATGGATTACCTTAGCAGCACCAGCTAACAACAGTAGCTTTAATATAACCAAAGTAACCGCCAAAGTCTTGACGCCGACTATGGCCGCCACCACCGCCCAAGTACTCGCGGCGCCAAGCTGGAACGCCAATGGTATGAACGCTTGGATCATCTTCTTGAAGGGACGGCCGAAGGTTCGACCTGGAAATTAGTGAAACAAGTTATTTTTAACGAGTGTTACTAGAACGCCTTTGAAATTATAAAATTATTTATATATCCATAGTAATATTAAAAATGTGCAAGTGTGTTTGTTTGTCCTTCTTTTAACGTCGAAACGGATTGGCACGATTTTTTGGGTGAGTGGAGAGCTGGAGAGTGTCATAGACTATGTACTTTTTACCGCAGGAGATTCTCTCATTTTCACGGGAAAACACGTTATAATACAACCCAAAAAAAATTTATGATCAAAATTACTTGAAACTTAGTATTAATGCTCTTCAATACGATTTAATAAATACACGTTTACGATTAAATAAATACATGTTTTACCATTTTTTGAAATTCATCCCATAAGGAAGTAAAATAGGGGATGAGTTTTAGACGAGCTAAGTCGCGGGTTCTGCTAGTCTATGTGAAAGTTTGTGAGTATGTATGGATGTTTGTTACTCTTTCGCGCCAGAACGGCTGAACGGATCTGGATGAAATTGGCACGGATATAGATTATAGTCTGGAATAATACATAGGCTACTTTTTCTCCCGGAAACATTTACGGTTCCCGTGGGATATCTAGAAACGAACCCGAGCGAAACGATCGTGAGCCGCTAGTTAAATATAAACTTAATGATTTTTTAAGAAAATACCATCGTACTATAGAATTTTATGTTCCGGAAAGCGCAAAACGTCTGTTAGAAAAAATAGTTAATTATATAGTTAATAAAAGAATAGTACTTATATATGTGAAAGTCAGGCAAAGGCATGCTCTTTTGTTAACTTTCTAATAAATAAACAAAAAAATCGTGTGCGAGTCGAAGTGTTTGAAAGAGAATTTGGAAATGTAATATTTTGTAGACTCAAATACGTACCTAGTATTATAATTTAACTTTGAAAGTTTGAGTAAATGAAAGCCCAAGATCTTATATTAATAAACACTCTAATAAAACTAAAACTAAAAACACAGTAAGATAAAATATCTTTGATTTTATTGATAATAATTGAATAATCTTTCATTAGGTAATGCGTTCGTAATGCAGTTTACCACGTTTAGTTATCAATATTGTTTTATTAAGGCAGTGGTAGCCCAGTGGTAACACGCTTGCTTGGGAAACCGAGTGAAGCGGGTTCGAATCTCTGATATTTTCATGTGCGAATTATTTCTAACATGATTACCACTTGTCTTACGGTGAAGGAAAAACATCGTGAGGAAACCTGCATGTCTGAGAGAACCTATCAAGTTTTCGAGAGACATGTGAAGTCCGCCAACCCGCACTTGGCCAGCGTGGTGGACTATGGCCTGATCCCCCTCGTATTGAAGGGAGGCTCACCCCCAGCAGTGGGACGTTAAAAAGGGCTGAATACATACTTATATAACTACTATTTATTGAAAAACGATATTATCTTCAATTTTTGAATAAGTCATTTAAATGTTAATAAAAAAAACAAAATTATATACTGTACCTATAGGTACTAGATTACAAATCGTAAAATTCCAATGAGAACTCGATTTTTAAAAATACGTATAGAACCAATAACTTCCTAATTTTTCAAAATCACTGATTTTCATAGCATAAAGTTAAAAAAATTTTGGCTCACACTCCAAAGTTTGCTACACCTAAAAGGTTGCCGCCCTGAGCACTAGCCCCGAGTGCCCCATGTGTAAATCCAGGGCTGCAAACAAAAGTATGGAATGGGGCATCTGTACTGGTCTAGTATTGGGGCATCTGTGACCTAAATGTAACCAATTTAATACGCAGAAGATACATGCAGGGAATGCAAGTATTGAACTCGACCTTGCTTCTTCGAAACGAGGCTTTTGATGATTTCATTTACATAACTGTTAAAAATAAGGAAAATATAACTTTCACATCTTTACTGATATTATATATACTAAAGTGTTGGGTTTTTACAAGCTTTTATTTAGTTTCACCTGTCCTGGTGTCTGTAATGGAATCTTGCAAGTTAAATTGATTGACGACACGTTTGCCTCAGTTGGTAGTGACCATACTTGACGTGCTAGCGGTCACGGGTTCGAGTCCCGCTGGGGGCATTAATTTGTGTGATGAGCACGAATGTTTGTACTCCAGTCATGGGTGTTTATATTTATAATATGTATGTATTTAAAGTCATATATGCGTAGTGTATCAACTATCTGGTATCCATAACACAAGTCTCGTAGCTTACCATGGAACTAGATGGCGCTGTGTGTTAATGTCCCAACATTTTAAATAAAACTATCTTTTCGGATTTTTTTGCGAATTTATTTTGATTTTTGGTTCCCGACGTTTCGAATGCTTTACAGCAATCATGGTCACGGGAGAGACTCTCTCAGCATTCGAAACGTCGGGAACCAAAAATCAAAATAAATTCGCGAATAAATCCGAAAACATAGTTTTATTTAAAATATCAAGTATTCGCGTAAATCTAAGAAAGTATTATGTGTCCTAACATTTATTATATTATTATTATTATAAAAATTTGACCCAATACCCAGTGTCTGATTGAGCTGAAATTTGGCACACTAGTTTGGTTCCCGATACAATACACGATTACCTAAATGCCGCCATTTTTAATCCAATATGGCGGACGTTACAAAATGGCGATTTATTATTTCCATCAGCATCAGGCATCAAATCTTTTATATCAATCAAGATTTTATACCATACTAGCGGACCCGACAGACGTTGTCCTGTCTACACGTCTTTAATTTGAAAATTTAAAACTTTTTTTTGATGAAAATTATTATTCAAATTGTGAATCTAAACCATTCCCAGATCTCCTTGAACACACAAAAAATTTCATCAAAATCGGTCCAGTCGTTTGAGAGAAGTTCAGTGACATACACACTCACAGAAGAATTATATATATAAAGATAAATTATGTAATGTAATATATTGATGGGTTTGATTTAATTTTAAAGTTTATTTTCTTCTTTTTGGAGCATTTTAATATGCATCCATAAATTTGTGCGTTTGTAGAGGACTTTACTTTTTTATTAATTTTTTTTAATTTCTCTGCACGTCATTTGGTTTTATAATTATAAAATATAAATATTAAACGTACAGTCCGTGTCAATAGAATTAGCAGTAAATGTAAATATTGATGTAACTTGACATTCATATAAGTAACTAATGTTTATTTGCAAACAACACGAGCTTCATTTATTAGCCTTCCTTTAGTACATTTTGGTACGCTAATATTATCTCTGGACTCAGACTTTAGAATAATATTATAAGACGGCGTCCGCCAAAATGAATATTAAGTAAAAAATTGTAAGTAGTGCGATGTGGTTTTTACTTGCTTTTTTATTAATTTCTTTAAAGAATAATGAAAATTCTGTATAGCCAGCAGGTATTAGTTAAGTTAATAGGTGCATATACGATTTTTGAGTATAAAATCTATACATATAGCTAGCTTGCTTCACCTGCAAACTTTCGTCCCATTCTCACCCTCTTAGGGGATGATTTCCGGGATAATAGCTAGTTCACTCACTCACATTTCATATCATGAGATTTAATAAAAATCTTATTTTACTAAAAGAAAATTCTTTCTTTTATACAAATTTTCTTCTATAGAAAACTTGTCCTGACAATAACAAACACAAAAAAAAGAATTATCCAATTTGGTGCAATCGATCGGAAGTTATAGTTATATTATATAGATAAAAGCCCGAGTCGAATCTGTACATTATTTTTTTTTTGGAAAATCTTATTGAAATAGTCATTAGTATCGACACAAAGGCCGAATCTATAATTTTTAGAATTTTTGCGTCTGTCTGTTTTCACCGTGTGTTGTCACCGTCTGTTTTTTGTGATTCGCTAGTTAATAATAATTAATTAAACAAACAAACAACTTTTTGGATACCTCAACACACAGACAAGAGGCGTGGTAGGCCGAGATGGAGATGGCGGGATGAGTTAGACTCCTTCGAATTTGAGTGGCTTATTATGACGAACGATAGGGAGCAGTGGAGGAAGAGTCCCTAGAGAGAGGCCTTTGCCCTGCAGTGGGACACTACAGGCTTATAATAATAATAATTGGACCCAGTTATGCAAAAAACAGCCATGTGCGTAAAAGTACCAACAGAGTTATAAGCTTTTTATTATAAAAAATTAAATAATTATAAAAAATAAACAATACTTATATAAATATTGTTCAATTTTAAAATAACCAGAAAAACAAAACATAACCCAAGTGCAACTATCGACAGAAAAATGCTTATAACTTTGTTGGTACTTTTACGCACATGGCTGTTTTTTGCATAACTGGGTCCAATTATTATTATTTGTAGTGGGTTCTTTTTTTCTTATTTACGTATTTTCTTCTTCATGAGATAGAATTTAAAATTATAGCAATCAAAAATCGATTAAGTAACTCCAACATTCACTTGAATGAATTCAGGTTACAACGCTTGTTACTCATTTATCTATACATATAATAAAATTGTAACTAAGCCGAATCTGTACATTAGATATTTTTTGGAAAATCTTATTGAAATAGACATTATTATCGATACAGAGGCCGAATCTATAGTTTTTAGAATTTTTGTCTGGCTGTCTGTCTGTCTGTCTATCTGTCTGTCTGTCTGTCTGTTACCGCATCACGGAAAAACCACTGGAGGGATTTTCATGAAATTCGGTATGATGGTAGCTGGTTATCCGCGTCAACGTATTGGACTTTTTATTGCGGGAAAATATCTCATTTCTGAGAAAAATACAAAACTGCATTGTAAGAGTATACTAATATGTTTTCCTTCAATGTAAGACAAGTGGTAATCATGTTGGAAATGAATCGCACGTGAAAATGTCAGATGCGTAAGACTCGGGATTTGAACCCGCTTCGCTCGGTTTCCCAAGCGAGCGCGTTACTACTGAGCTACCACTGTCCTACACTGTAGCAGACTGTCATCAAATTATTCGATTAATAAAAAATGAGCAATTCTTGTATAAGTACCTATGTTTATTTCCTGTATCTCGGAAACTTTCTAACGATTTGGAACAAATTACCTATGTATTTAGATAAAGTTTTACTTTTTGAATTTATCTTATCACCTATATCTTTTCTGAAAAAAGCGTAGCGAAGCTCGGTTTGTGTACTTAAATTAATTGAAACAAATAATAAATATCTTTTACCAATAAAAAAATAAAATATCAAAGACAACAAAAAAAAATTAAGTTTGTTTTCGGAAATTAGTGGACGTACTTACCTAAAGATGTATCTTCTAAAATTTTTCTACCGGCCTCAGCAATTGATCTAATACTTTGGTTTCTATTTAAACTATAATTAACTAAATTTTTGGTATAACTATTAAAACCTTCGTCATAACGTTGGTCTACCTGTGCCAAACTGGGACACGTAAAAAGCAAAACTAAACAAACTGTCAAGAGCACGTCCATTTTGTTTAATTTATACAACAACAAATGAAAACAAGGTATGAACCATTTTATAATTTCCTTTAAATCCATCATGGTTTTATAAAATAAGTTTTTAATATATTATTTTAGTTAAAACTAACGGTGTAGAAAGTTGTAAACGTCATGTCGCGCGCGCAGCGAGTTCGTAACTGACATGGCTGGTGGCAGGCGCGTCCCCTTTCTTTCTCTCAGGTAATAAGGAGCTCAAAAGTGAAAGACATTTTATTGTTATACAATTGTTGTATACATACATATATATATATATATATATATATATATATATATATATATATATATATATATATATATATATATATATAAATTCATTGAAATATAAATAATTTTTTTGAAGTTATACCTCTTTTAGCACGTTTGGAAAAAATTATGCGAGCAAAATTTTTACGATGCGCGCGCGCACACCGACAGCCAAAAAGCGACATGATGAAGCTATCTGCATTCCTTTTACAAACACAGAGTTGTGACATACGGGATGAAATCTTTAGCTATTTTTGTTCTGTTAAGAAGAAGAAAGAAGTATAACTTCTTATGTGCGGACATAAAAGTACAAACACACATTTTGCAGGCATTGTCTTATTAAATTAAATATTAATATTAGTTAGCAATAAATTTTATAACAATTTAGGCTAAATTGTTTTGGCTTGGCGTCAAGCTCTAAATGACTTTGCCGCCAAGATGTGACTTATTATGAGTTTTTGATAGACATTTAAAAAAAAGAAATAAGGCTGAAGCTGACGTCTAAGCAGTATATTAAATATAATACGTTTTTATTGTAAATAAGTATGTAGACTAAAAACATAAAATAAATGTACCTAACATTTATAATAAAAATATTATTCTACTTCCTTTAAGAATAATGTTTATTTTTACAGGACTTCCGCGTAAGCAGCGAATTATAAACTTATAAGGGAATAGGGATCCGTGTTTGCCTTTGGTTTAGGTTACATTAAAAAAAACTACAGACCGGGTTTTTTATAATCTGCAAAAAAAACATGAAGAGTCATAAAATATAGGAAAATTATAGGGCACTCTCTCTAACATCACCCTACAACCTTTAGAAGTGGAGCAATTATCTATACTAAAATATGCAGCTGATGAATTTGAACCTTGAGACCGCTTTAATCTCTAGATCTACTGCTTTGATTTGAATTTTTTTTTTCAAATCGGAGATTTTCTTTTTGCGATTTGTAGCTTTTAAACGTACCTAGGGGCACACCCGAGCGAACGATGGCAATACGCTTGTTAGTTACCATACATAATTATTCTTACCAAATATTTAGATGAAGTGGTAATTAAGCATCGTAAATATATAATTATATTATATAGATTGCTTCTTTTTTTCACTTTCATCCCAATTTTCACCCCCTGAAGATATGAGTTCCGGGATAAAAACTATTCTATGTCCTTCCCAGGGTCTCAACTATCTTCTTACCAAATTTCATCTAAATCGGTTCAGTAGTTTCGGAGCTATGCGGTACAAACAAACAAACAAACAAAAAATCAAATCTTTCCTTTTTATAATTTCAGTATTAATATAATTAAATTAAAATTAATATACGACAACAGTGCTATTTAAAATGTATTTACATATGTACTATGTACATATTGATATGGCGACTTTGACCAGCTGATTACACGTTGTTTGAGATATAAGGCCGCGTTGACACGCTCAAAGTCCTGCTTTGACAAAATAGTTTTGACAAAAAGCTTTGAAACGAAGTTTACTATGATAAACCCGACTCCAAGTCCACTTTGATTGAACGCCGACTTTGCTTGCTCGTTTACACTATCAAAGTATTCGTTAAAACTGCTTTGTCAAAGTAGACTTTGATCGTGTGAACTCGGCTTAATAGAAGTTGTTGGTCAAATCATCTTTGTCTATAATTAATACTCTTTAAATAAAACACATTTTAAATAAAACTATCTTTTCGGATTTTTCCGCGAATCACGGGGATGTAACACTTCCCAACAGCTTTTTTTATGTTGGAAAATGCATTTACACAGACCACCTGTAATACATACAGGTGATATAAGGTGATGTGGAACTTACCGGCGAAGGCAGTAGGTACTACCCACTATAACCCAATGGAACCTCCACCTCCATGCACTCAACCACGATGCTCCGGTAGCAGATCTGCTGAAGCAGGCCTCAACAACCATACGATTTATCTAACAGTCCACTCTGATATCAGAGAAGTACCAGGAGCAACCCGCATAGCACACCGCTCACCGAGGTAAACCGCCTCCCAGTGCTTTGGTTTCGCGCCCGGCCGCATTGCCGGGCGCTAATAATCCCAATCAACTGAGTACCAAGACATGGTGAACACACATTGGGGTGGAACACCTGCTCTGCCTAGCACAATCTGGGAATCGAACCTACGATGACCAAATTGATTCAAATAAACAACAGACTAATAGGCGGGTAAAACCGCAAGCGTTGCTAGTAGTCCTAACGAGGATGTTAGTTTAAAGATAACTATAACAGTTAGACTTTCCCCTTCTTATCTATTCATGCCCCACTTTGCTCATCCTAATCAATGGTTACAATTGACTATTTAGAATTTGTAAGAGTTGAAAATTTCTTTTTAAAACTGTCTATTTTCTCGAAATTAACATAATTCGTTGGCTCACTATTACAAGGTTCTATGTTAATTTTAATGAAGCTTAGTAATTTTTACATAGAACTTCGTTATTTTGTTATCGTAAAAAAAAAACATAGAACTATGTAAAATTGAATATTTTGTAGTTATAGTGCCGCTATCTAGTGGTTTGTTTTTGCAAAACTGTAGCTAATGACAGATAGAACCTTGTAGCATTCATAACTAAATAAGTACTAAAATTGTAACATAGAACCTTGTAATAGTGAGCCAACAATATGTAATGCAACTATTTGGTATGCAAGAGACGATGTATTACTACGAATCTTTTGTTATTTATTATCTTTGTTAAGAGGGCATCGAGCTTTTTATTTTAGTAGGACGACAGCGGGCACGGAGGAGGGACGGGGGGTGTGACTAGGACGGACGGATCGCGTGCGAATTTAGATATTTTCTTCGTATTATTAAAACAAATACACATTTTATAATAATAAATGTTGGGACATTAACACACAGCGCCATCTAGTTCCATGCTAAGCTACGAGGCCTGTGTTATGGATACCAGATAGTTGATACACTACACATATATAGCTTTAAATACATACATATTATAAATATTAACACCCATGACTGGAGTTCAAACATTCGTACTCATCACACAAATGAATGCCCCCAGCGGGACTCGAACCCGCGACCGCTAGCACAGCAAGTAGGGTCACTACCAACTGAGCCAAACGTGTCGTCTAATTTTAAAAATGTAAAGTATATACGTTAAAGAAAACGTAGTTTTCTTATCTATTAAAGACCTGATGAACTTCCTTGAATTATTTACACCGTACTAAGGGTTGTTTTGTTTTTTAGAGATCATTTTGGTGTTTATTTCTATCGAGGAAACTACAAGTAATCGGGTTTCTAAAGTGTACGATTTATAGAATAAATCCTTAAATATCCTACATATTAATTGTATAATTAAAGTTTTATTAAATAACAATACAGCAAGGGATCAAACGAACGCAATAAGGTATTTCGTAATGGCCTCGGTGCGCCCTTAAGATTATTTGCACTCAGCTCAGAAATTGTATTTTTCAAAGTTTTTAAAGTCCATAATGAACTAGTCTTAAAAAAATATTATACGTTTATATTTTGTGTATGATATGCGATATATTTTTATTAGAGTTCTGAAGCCTTAAGGAAAAAATATAGTTATTTTGATTTCGTCATGTCCGTCTGTCTGTAATATATTGAAGAGACGTTAGTGATCCTACTTGCTGCGCCAGTGGTCGCGGGTTCGGGTCCCGCTTAGGGCATTCATTTGTTTGATGAGCACGAATGTTTGTACTCCAGTCATAGTCGCCGAGCGTTAAAAGAATAACAAACATACTCGTATCTACTCTCAACTTATAGTTACTAATTTATATACAGAAGGAGTTCTGACAAATTGTTTTTAAAGACAACAGTTTTGTTTATGCGGCGAGGGAATTGGAGTGTGCATGAAATGTTAACTCTGTTTCGACGTCAAATAAGGACAAACAAACAGACACACTTTCACATTTGTAATATTACTAGCATTGCCCGCGGCTCCGCCCGCGTTCAAATGACCGCAAACATTCTTAGGTTTTACATATTAGTATACTCATACATTGCAGTTTTTGTATTTTTTCTCAGAAATGAGACATTTTCCCGCAGTAAAAAGTCCTATATGTTGACCCGGATAACCAGCTATCACCATACCAAATTCCATCAAAATCCCTCCAGTGGTTTTTCTGTGATGCAGTAACAGACAGACAGACAAAAATTCTAAAAACTATAGATTCGGCCTCTGTATCGATAATAATGTCTATTTCAATAAGATTTTCCCAAAAATATTTAATGTACAGATTCGACTTAGTTACAATTTTATTATATGTATAGATAGATATAGATACATACGTCAGAGGCTGTAAGTCTTAAACATAACGTGATACATAACTAATTACATTTCGCGTACGGAACCGTGGGAAAATCCTAGTCAGCTATAAATAATTTTTGTTTTGTACACCAACACGACGATTTTAGATTATATGCAGTACTTGTATCCTTAAGCTATCTCTTAACGGTACATTGACCCCGGTGGAGTTCAATCTATTTATATTTATAATAGCAAACCCATCCGGTTTCGTCTTCATATTTAATTTATTTTTGTATTTTTTTTTTAAATAAGTATTGCATATCCCATAAATTACATACATATTGTGTATTTTTGATTTGTTTTTATTAAAGAAATTTTCCACTCTCTTTTAGTTAATAACTTTTTTAAATACAAAAGAAAACGACTTACAGCAACTAAAAAGTAAAACTTAAAAAAAAATCAATTACTAGACATTTCTA